AAGACCCACCTTACTGAGCATTTTCATTTCCTCATCTGTCGGCGATGTGACATCCAACCACCACGTTCTGTCATCCGAATCACCTGCACTTCCATTCCCACCGCCCGGCCCTGGCCCCATCGCAAGCTTTTGGTCTATCGGGATAGGCCTCCTATTCGGATTTGCACTCACACCGTTCGACCCATTACTGAAGTACCCGTCTCGGAACGAGGGGGGAGGCTCATTAGTACCATTCGCGCCACTTCCCTCGGTATTCGCGCCAGCGAACAGCTGTTCAAACGTCTGATTTTCAGCCGGGAGTTCGCTAAGACTTCGTGCATGGATAGTCGCAGCAAGAGCGTTCGAGTAGAAAGAGAAACGATACGGTCGGTCATGACCTGTATGGAGAATACCTCCAAGAGGAGGTTGTCCGCCACCGTCATATGTGCTGGTGACAGTTGGGTGTCTACCAAGTCCAATAGACAGGCGGGATGTTATGGAAGGGCCGACGGAAGGCAGTGCAGAAGAAAATGGATCATGGGGAGTTTCGAAAAGCGCCATTTTGTCTTTGATACCTTTACGATGAGAGCGCGGCTGGGGGGCGGAGTGGCTGAGCTTGCGTTGACGTGCGGTGGAGATGCTAGCTCTAGGGGAAGCTTCACCATCTGTCTCAGGTGATTGGGCTAGTGGTGGTGAAAGCTGTCCGGGGAGCGTGGAAGGACCTGCTTCACCTTCGCCTTGCTCTGCTGGTCTCGGGGGAGGACTGGGGAAATGGACTGTGTCCAAAGTAAATTTCGTAGCTGGTGCGAGACCGAGTGTAGCCTTCTCGATAGATGCAAATTCCTCCATAGGGGAAAAATCGAAGTCTGACCGTGTTATATTAGCTTGGTATGTCGGGAGCTCAAAGAGCGACTCGGAAATCGGGTTATTATTCCTGAGGGGCGCTGCATGGGCGAGGAGGGATGGATCATGTGTTTGATTCATTAACATGTTGAGATCTATACGTGAAGTGTTTGGGCTGCGCCCCACAGGCTCCTCTTCTGCGTCGGTGTGCATAGCACTCTGTCCAAGGTGTACATGTTCCTCCTCCTCTTCATGGTGTGCGTGTTCGAGTACTGGGGATATCTCAGGTGAGCCCACGACACCCGTTTCCCTGCGGGCTCGGGATAGGTGCATAGCCATGTCCACATCCATTGTGCGCTGGCGCTCGCGGGCCTCGGGATCGAAGGACCGAGATAGGGTAGGGGAGTGGCGGAGACGGGTGGTGAGGTCACTGGCATCGCTAGCTCTGCGACGGATGGGGGAGCTGGAAATAGGATTTGTAGGGTCTCTCAAGGAGTCCGGCGACGACGAAAGGACAATGTTCGTCGTCGCTGACGGCGGCAGCGACACTGGGACGCTCATGGTCAGTGTGCCAGAAGGAAAGGACACCCGTGAGTGAACCATGAGGCTAAATTGAAATTCTGTCATCGAACGCCTGAGAGGGTCAATCTATATAGTCACAGACCGAATAATATCGCGCCCCCGTTGTCTAATGGTTATGACGTCAGACTTCTACCCTTGTGTATCTGGAGGTTGCGGGTTCGAGTCCCGCCGGGGGTTTGCTGCTGGGCTTAAGACAAGTTTTTTATATTGCTAGTGAATGTATCACAGATCTGGGCTGTGTGTGCAGGCCTCTAGAGCCATTATGATGGTCATGAATATTAACATAGAGGGGGAGCCATATTAGTTTGGAGGGGTAATGTACAAGATATCTCTGCAGCCCAACATCAGCGCTATGATTCGGAGACCCGAATTGCGGGGCTTGCATCCCACACATTTTTCAGTACAGCCTGCTTGCCCTCTATCCTCCTTCCTGTCCAGTCCTCCTCACCCACCCGATTAGCCCAATCATCCTCCTCGTCCCAAGTCTCCGCCCACGCATCAGCCTCACTACCCTTCGCCACCTCCACCTCAGCCTTCTGTACCGGCGCCAGCGGCACAGGCATCACCGGCTGCGCCGATGAAAGCAGCGCACTCGGGGAATTGACCGCAGGCGGATAGTCGTTACGCACATTTAGTGGCGCGGGCGCGGCGCGCCGTTTCGCATTCTTGAGTAGGTTTTTAGCTGATCGGGGTGGCATAGAACTGCCGGAGGAGACACTGTTGGTGAGGCTTGGGGGGTAGGAGTGTTCTGCTGGCTCGTTAGGCGAGGCGGTGCCGCTTTTGTACTCCTCTGGCGTCTCTGACGTTTCGGATTCGCTTGATTTGCGTGGAGGGTGAAGTGACCGGCGTGCATGCTCGATGTCATCATGTCTATATTCATCATCGTCATCTTCGGAAGATGCGCGGAAGAGGGGTTCTCGGTCGTGTATTGTTGGGTCAGAAGAGTTGTCGTCTAATGCTACGGATTTGGTAGATGCCTTGACTATGGAGTCGATAAGCCAGAACTGGAGGACGTTCATGATGATGGGGAATATTCCCATTGTACTGTGCGTATTTGGTGAATACGATGAGTAGCAGACGTTGCGACGTATTGTGACGTACAATATGACCTGGAGAGAATCCCCGTTGCCGATCCGCGTCCAGCTCAAGAGCCACTCTCCGAGAGTGAACATTCCGGGAATGAGAACAATTAGTATAATGACAATAATCTTCATGGTCGTGAGCGCAAGGACGTAGACGGCTGCTTGTCGGGCCCAGAATTTGATAGACGGCGGAGAGCCATATACACCGGATTCGAAGCCTTTCCACTGTAGCCGTTCAACAAGGATGTCGGAAAGAGCATAGAGAATGCCATAGAGTAATGCAACGCCTAAAAGAACATGAGAAGCGTCCAAATCCGCAACGCGGAGGACTCACCAAGCGTTGTGTCGAGCAGAATATGTAGGAAATAGAATACGCATGCATTTCCGGAGGTATAGTCAGAAATCATGTCAGACACGAGGACGTTAGCGCCGTGGACGAACATCTGGCCCACGACTTGTTTGGATACATCGAAGATCCTGGGTGAAATTTGTCAATATGTGCGAAGTGTGGTACCATGAGTAAAAACTCGCCATATCCGCCATGGACGCTTCCGTGGCTCCCTATGCCGTTTATATAGAAGAGAGATGATCACGAAGACACCCAGAACACCTTGCACTACCTGTGATAACCTTTTAGCATCTGCATCTGACGAAAGTGGGGTCGAGAAGCGTACTAGTGCAGTGGGTCCCAGGAGTTCGCAGGATTCGTCTGCTGGGAGAGAGTCTGCGAGGTTCGATGTGGAGTTTGCCACCGGCGACGCCATAAGTCGTCGTCGTTGTGACGGATCAGGTAGCGATGCACATAATTGGGACCCCGCCCAATCACGGTTGGGAGTGATCGAGGTGTGGCAGCTGTGCTTTTCCTGATACTACGTGTATAGACACCATGAGCTTCTTCAGTCGCAGCGGCAACAACACACCAACTCCCCCAGCCCCGTCTGGCGCATACAATCGCATTCCCGACTACAATAATTCCCTTCCTTCTGGCCTACGATCGGGCGCCCGACACCAGCCCCCATCGACGCAACACAACGCGCCCCCAACACCGTACAACGACCCTTCAAGTGCCTTCTTTGAGCGGAGGCCCCAGTATGATCGCAAACCGCCTCCGCATAGTGGTGGAGAGTACGTTTAAAGCACTCAGCATTTGTAATGAGATTCTGATCGTTCGTGTCCATAGCTATGGTGTAGTTTCAGCGCCGAGCGAAGCACTCGCCTTGACAAACTGCTTGATTGTCCATCCGTCAGATTTTCAGCAGGGCCAGCACGTTCTTGTCAAAGGGGCATTCACACTAACCGTCAGGTATCACGGTCATCCGCCTCCATGAAGGTGTCTAAACTCTCTACAGGCATGACAACACTGGCAAACTCCCCCCAGGCATGATTGGTGCCTCTTTAGCACAACGCCAATGGATCGGCCTCTCAGTCACTGGCGATCGTGTTGCCGTCGAAGCCCTCCCAAGCCCCCCACACCCCGATGCGCCCTCGTACCTAGAATCTCTCGACCTCGAGGTCGGCTTCCACCGTCGTGGGCACGAGATTGCAGAGCAATTCTCCTCCGACGAAATGGCCAAGAACTTCCTACATGCATTTAGTGGAATCGTCATGTCCGTTGACGAGATCATCGTATTCGAATTCCACGGCCAGAATCTCAAAGCGACTGTCAAGGCCGTCAGCACTGTTGATTTGGCGGACGAGCAACGACGAGGCGCCCCTGCTGCTGGTCAGCGATCAAGAAACCTACCGCTCGGTATCGTCATGCCCAAGACCGACGTGACGTTCTTGAAGGAGCCAGGGAGTGCGATTAAGTTAAAGTCGAGCGCTAAAAAGTGAGTTTTGACCACTAGAGTATCGCGATTACCGCAAAGTAACATTACAACAGGGCTCCACCAAATGCGATACTGGCGCCCAACTTCAAGTTCGAGGACATGGGTATTGGAGGGCTCGACAACGAGTTCAGTGAAATCTTCCGACGTGCATTCGCCTCACGTGTATTTCCACCTGCGATCGTTGAGAAACTCGGCATCGACCACGTTAAAGGTACTTTCTCGCCGCAATTCCTCCTTCAGCCACGTAAACTCATGCACCCATGCAAGGAATCTTGCTTCATGGCCCTCCTGGAACCGGAAAGACCCTAATTGCACGACAGATCGGCAAAATGCTCAACGCGCGAGAGCCAAAGGTCGTTAACGGCCCTGAAATCTTGAGCAAGTATGTTGGTGCATCGGAAGAAAATATCCGCAAGCTCTTTAGCGACGCCGAAAAGGAGGTTCGTTTTCTTCTTACTTATCTCAGTAAAATTCGTAGACTGATATCACGGTTTCAGTACAAAGAGAAGGGTGAAGACAGTGGTCTCCATATCATCATCTTTGATGAATTGGACGCAATCTTCAAGCACCGTGGCTCGACGAACAACGGCACTGGTGTCGGAGACACTGTTGTCAACCAGCTGCTCTCAAAGGTGGGCAAGAA